AAGGACACAAAGTAGATTCGAGATATCGAAGACGGTGCACTCCCAGTTCCCGTGGGGTCGCGGCGGTCGTATATGGCTTGACTTCCAGCTGCCGAGTTTCGAGATCAGAGATTCGCCTACGCCCGCGGAAGGATCCCTCTCCCGCGACGAAGGACGCCACGTTCGAGATCCTGTTTCCCCGCGAATCACTCGAAATAATTCGTCGGCCGTGGCTGAAATCGATACGCCGATGTACGACTAACTGTTGGACCCCCCCTCCTTGAAAGAAGAATTATTTCCTGGGAGGGGAGGGGGTGGTTGCAGTGACCGATAAGTCTCGACCGATCGCGACCGGTCGCCCGGTTGATAGCGGCCCTCGTGCTGCTGGGAAAGGATCGTGGCCCTCGTGGCCTTGGTCCTTCGAACACGTGGAGATGCGAAACGAAAACGAAACCGGTTGATCGAAATATCGGCGCGCGATAACAATCGTAAGTTGGGAGACCGGAGCGAAGGAAATTCTATTTCTTCCGAAGTTGGTACGCGCGTCTCGAAGAACACGTGAAAATTAAATAAGAAACTTTTCGATTATTTATATTTTGGATTTTAATCTCTTTTCGAGGCGAGTAAATCCAACGATTGTCCACCATTGGCAAAACCGTTTTACCATTTTCAACGATATTTCAAATCCCAAGATTTGGCTTTGAATAAGATGAGAAGGTTGAAAATACGAGGAATCTCGCATTTCTGTCGCAGTTGGTAAGCCAAGATATCCGTTACGCGGCGATTTGGTCCGAAAGAAGCTCGAACTGTTTGGCGGATCGAGGAAAGAGCCGCTTTAACGAGGCCTAATAGGATTCTCAGTAGCGTGAATTTCTTTGGGGAATCCGAAGGGATTCCGGTCAAAACGTCGTTCGAGATCAAGTCCAAACAGCGTGAGCCACTTTTCCGACTGCACTCGTGACTGGCCGGTGATGATCCTTTGACGCAGGACCTCCATTGCAGTAGGTATGGCCTGAGTGAATGGTCACTCGAGAGCGGGCCCGTCCACTGACTAAGCGATGTTTGGCCACAATACGATCGTCTCCAAGATGTTCAAAGCATCCCTTTAACCGAACCATTTCTCATTTTTCATTTCTCGTGTTCCATCAGGTTTTGTTTTGTCGATAAGCAGGCGCTTTTTCAAGTATCTGGATACGAGTGGAAAATTTATTTTCGGTCTTCTTCTTTTTATTGTAAAAAATTGGAGGGAATTTTATGCAAAGGATAGTAATGAAACGTGTGATTAGATTTCTATTTGCCGAGCAGCACGTTTGTTGTGTAAATGCTTTCTAATAAAGTTGTAAGAGATTTATGGATTAATTAGAAAGCGTATTCTGATCGAGCTCGATAATTCCACAAACGAACGTTTGTTGTTAATTATACCGCACGGTGGAATATAATTTATTAACGGATCAGATAGGATATCGAATCAGAGATGCCGCATTCAATATTCATTTCCGATAATTCATAACGCGGAGGAGGTTTCATCCTCTGTCCACGCCAATGGAAGTACGACTAAATTAAACGATATGAAAGATGGCTGTTACAATCGAGTGTCTTCACACGCGAAAAATCCTTATATATCAAAGAAACATGCCGATTTTTTTTTAAAGAAAATTCCTTTGCGAAATATATTCACAAATTCTCTCGAGAGAAAAAACCCTCTCTTCACCTTTCAACCCGACGATTCAATTACGTTCGACCACGAACGAATCATCCCTCGAGAAAGCACCGGTCAACAACCGAATCCATCTTCGTTTAACCCACGCCAACAATTTTCCCGGCTGAGCCAGCGGCGCTCGCAATTAATAAGCGCGATGCTTTCGAGACTTTAACGCCGGCGACATGCGCGCGTGAGAGAAGTTTTCGCGGCGAGAAGTCGCGTCGTGTCCCTTTGACCTCCTCGCGCGTTTCCTCGGCTCGCGAGGAACTCGGCGACGCTTAATAATCCGGCGCTGGTAATCGATTATCTCGACGACGACGACGACGACGACGACGAGCGTACGTCGTGCTGGGTCGTCGCGACGGCTGGGAAACCCGCGCGAAACAGCTCGTACGACATTCCGTACGCCGTACGCGTTCGATTAATGAGGTTGAGAGGCAGGTTTCAGCGGTGCACCGCGCATGTGCCAACCCCGCGGAATTCAATTAATCGTCGCCGCGTTCTTGAAATCTCGGGGATACCGCGGCCAATCCCGCTCCAGGGATACCGCGCCACGGCACGCTTGAACGTCATAATTCAGCGGCACGGATAGCCTGAATTTCAACGGATTGTAATCATCCGGCTCGATCGTGCCGCGGCGAGATTGATCAGAGATCCCAGCCCGAGATTCGTGGAGATCGAGAATCTTTCGAGGATTCGCGGAAGGAAGGATGCGTGTGAGAGATTATTTTGTTGTTATCATTATCACGTCTTTGTTCCGGTCTTTTGTTTTTAAAATTTTAATAGTGTGGAAAATAATAGTGTTGCTTCAAGCTTCGTAGGGATGGAGAAAGGTTTTTCGTATTATTTTAAATTCATTGCGAGTGATTAATTGGTACGATAAATTGGGAGAATAATGACGTTGTTAATCATATTCAGAAAATAATCAATTTCGAGAATTCAAAGGAGAGAGAAAAATGTAGGAAGATTTTGAATTTGTTGTGATTGTGAAAGATCGCGTTTATGTGCGATTTTTAATTTATTTTCATTTCGTTTGATTCGTAGTCTAGAAATCTTGCATTTTATTTAAAATAATTTAAAACGGACTGGATTAATGATCGCGCCAGTTTGTCATTCATCATGGAAAAAATCGTGAGTGTGAGATTCACTGGAACGACTCTGGGCTTAAAAAAATATGTCACGGCGAACCGTTTTACCCGACAGGAGGTGACCGCTCTCCTCGTGCTCGGAGAGAGGACGATAAATCTCGTTTCCTTCCGTGTCGATGAGCAGACACCTTCTGGAAAGAATGAGTTCATATCTTCGGGGGCAGAATCGAGTTCATATTAGCCCCATCTGCCTCCTCGAGAAGGGCTTCTGCATGAGCGAGCATACACACAGGGACGAGACAACGATGGACAAAACGACGAAAATACATCCGGATTATTTTCGACCAATTGATCACGAATCCGATGTAGCTAGCCGCGCCTCTCGTGTTTGATACACACCGTCGGACATACCGTGAAGCTCTTTTATGTCGCTTCTGTTCGTTGGCCGACAGTCGAAGAAATTATTTATGACGCTTCGATATAATATCTGTTTTCCTTTTTTTTTTTTTTTTTTTTACGCAACAGGAACATTTTTTTAAATGACTTGCGCGAATCATATGGATCTTGAGTTTATTTATCGAAAAAGATTTCTATCCGATGTTAACGATCAAAAGTTATAAACATTATAAATTATATTAACACAAATGGTCAAAGTAATTTTATAATACGATACGAATATTCCACGTTTCGTGAATAAGATTATAAGTATAACAATCGAATCAAAATTTGAAAATTCTTTAAAAATTCTTTATTATTTTCTCTCGAACAAAATGATTCGATCTTTATTAAATTACACCTTCCTGTTGTGACACGATCAAAATATTCATTTATCTGAATCACATCTATTCGTGCGTATACATTAAGATTCGACCGAGCAATGTTTTTCGATCGATGACGAGAAAAAGATCCCCTGATCTATCCACGTGACGCAATCCTCACTTCGGGATTCTCCAAACCTGAAGAAACATTTCGTAGCCTGTATCGTTCTCCATCCAGAGGACATTAGATCCGACATCGACATCATCGGCTATCAGGCTCGTAAAAAAGAGAAGAGAGAGAAAGAGAGATCGAACACAGCAGACTTTCCCAGATTCGTAGCTCCTCGCTCGTTCCTCTTCTTCCCTCGGGCGCTATCTCGATAAAATGAAATCGGTCGTTAAACGAGGAAGAAGCGAGAGACAGCTCCGAGGAGAGGAGACACGAGCACAAAAAAAGCAGCGGCCTCACGAGGATTCATAGGGTCAAGGCGCGGGTAGAGGGGTCGAAGGGAGCGACAGAGAGGCGAGGATGAGCGTGGAGACGGAGAAAAAGAGAGTTCGGGGCCGAGGGATCGAGAGCAGAGAGGAGAGAATCGTTTTACGTTCAGAAACCAGTTTCTATGGTTTAATTTCTACGGGTGGACATCTTCTTTAATTTATGGCGCCGTCCAACCCCGTCCTTCCTGCCCTCCTACTCTCCCCCTTGAACGCCTTTCGACATTTTATTGGGTCGACCAGTTTCTCCGTAACTCGTATATGGGATTCCACACGAGTGCCACCTTCGAAAAATATCTCGAACGTGATATAAACGCGTCTCCAAGGAATCCAAAACCTCGCTCAACTCGCTCCATCTCCATTCGATCCTCTCCATCCTCTCTTTCCTATGCGACTGCGATTAGACGCCGGCCCAATCTGATTTCGCAAGGCCGATTCGTTCTCCCAGTCGCACCTGTGTGCACCAAGCGACAAGATCAACCAACTCTCCAACTGTGTTACATCGGATCTGTACGTTAATTGAAGCAGCGAGCGGGCAAATAGCTATGATTACGTCTTGCAGACTAAATTATATGGGCGAGTCTCCTCTCTCTGTGTGTACAAGATACTACACACGCCGTTATTGGAGCGAGACGGTGAGGAGGTGGCTCTCCGGGGACGAGTCTATAAGTTGAAACTTTAGAAAGGATATTACGAAGCGGGATAAGGATCGTTATTATTGAGATTATCGCGTCTCATCTTATTTACGCCACGAAAGCGTAAAAACGATGTCTAGATTTTTCTCAACTCCCACTAAGAAGAACAAAGGGAATCGCATCGATCTCGAGACGCTTAGAACGAGGTGTTCAACAAACGCATTCCACGCTATCGATGCTTCTTTTTATTAATATTCTTCCATGTATAATTTCAGCTCCGTGGTCGTCATGTTTGAAGGAGTAGAGATCGTTCCACGAGTGGGGAGGGGACGGGAGATCTGAACGCGAGTCTGAAGGAAAGGACGAGAGGTTGGCCGTTTCTCACACAGGCCGGGAAGCAGCTCAGTCCGCTCGGCCGGCAATCGGTTCTCTGCGGGGGCATCACCGGCGACGCGAGAAATAGCGGAGGCTCGAGAGTGGAGGAGCGCACGACCTCGGCCGAGTGGGGAAGAGATGGGTGGCACCTGGACAGCCGGTCTCCAGGGACCCAGCCGCGTAGGATTGGCGGAGAGACAGGGGCCAGTCGGGGCCTATTGGCAGGCCAGGCTACAGGCGTGTATCGGGGGGCAGGTACAAATGGCCCCTACCAACGGGGGAAAATCGGTTCCCGTCGGTAAACCCGTGGCTCTCCTTAGGCGCCTTCGATGCAGTCGAACAGGTCGCAGCGATCGCGAAGCGCCAGTCCTCTCCCGTCCATCGACGTGGCCGCACCGTGGATCGTGGATGTTCGAGAGAGACAGAAAGAGGGAGAGACGAGAGAACAGAGAGAGAAAAATCGGGGGAAAAAATCGTTGGATCGGGGACGGGCAAGGAAAGGAGGGAGAGGGAGAGGGAGAGAGAGAGAGAGAGAGAGACGATTGGAGAGAAGGAGGCGCGGTGAGTAGAGAGCCACGCGAGTACGAGCGTGGATCATCCGGAGCAGAGTTACTCGGGGGCAGTCGAAGGATTTGCATCGAGGGGAACGGTGCTTGAGAGACGGTCGCGTGTCTTTTGAAAAAAAGGAGACGAAGGAAGGAAAAAGGAAGAAGGAAGAAGAAGAAGAAGAAGAAGAAGAAGAAGAAAAGGTGTAAATCGATCCGCGTGACATCGCGCTGAAAAAGAAAAAACGTGAAAAAAGAACGGAAACTAAGGATTTGGATCGAAGATCACGTACGTGTGTGCACGGTGCGCGGTGTACCACGAGCCACCATCACCACGTGACCGACCGAAGAGAAACATTGGGAACATTGTTTTTTTTTTTCTTTCGGGCAGTGTGTGACTCGTTCGAGAATCCAACGATTCTTGTGAAGATTCTTCGACTGTCGGGGAGGAAGGTTATGGTGTGTAACGTGTGAAAGGGGACTCGGACAATTGTATCGTATAGAGGAGAAAAGTTATTTTTGTTCGTTTGTTAGTGAACCGAGACACCGGTTAGCCTGCTCGCAGTGTTATCGTCTGCCCTCTAAGGTGAGTGAAACTTTATATTTATGTTATGTTTGTTTAGTGATTCTGCGTCGCAACGTCCCTGCGCGGGCGTTGATGTCTCCGACAAGAATTGCGCCCTGCGTTCAAGTCTCCCCGCGCTTCTCACTCTTTATTTGGGAATTTGTGAAATATCGTAGAAATATCGCTTCTAATTTTCTATTCTATTCGTGAATTCTATTTGTTACGAATGTGCGATTTTTCTTTTCTTTTTTTTTTTTTTCCTTCTTCTTTGTTGACCCGTGTTTATCAAAACTTGGAGCATCGTGTTCGACGGGGGAATTGAATATCGTGTTTTGTTTCGTGCGGTGAGAACTATAGGCAGAGACACAACGGGAGGGGACAACCAAAAAGGG